CAATTAATCAGGTCAAGGTAAATTCTGCACTCAAAGATGATCATTTTTTATGCATTAAGTTGAATATAGAAAAGGATAGAAAAATTGCATAAACTTGTTGCTGCTCGCAACTCGGAACATGTCTGCAATCATGGCTCTCAAACTAAGACGTCTCAGAATTCTGTGGATTATCATGCCAGTAATGCTCAAATAGGGACTCTAGAATATTGACAAATATACACTAATATTTCAGAAAGAAATCTGGGTATGGCAGTTAAGAAAGGGCCATATTGTTATTCTTTTCTGCTTTACTGAGTGTCCAAAATTACATAATCTGTTTGTAATGTAATTTGTAATATGTCACCTTACCTTTTTTTTCCTTTTTCTTTGTTAGTCATGATTATGTACTTTCTGCAAGTTAACCGGATATAATCTACTTCTCTTGCTACTCTTCTCTACCAAATCCTAAAACACATCTCACTCATTCAAGCTTTATTTCTATTACATCAAATCTTTTATGTTAATTCGGTAGTTGGTACAACTTACCAGCATCTCTTTTACTCAAAAAATTTCTGATATGAGTTGAAGTTTGACATCAAATCTTACTTAGGACCTCAGTTCTTCACAGTTTGATTTGTTTTATGCCATCGGACATTGGTCCCTTTGATCTATCAGCAACCAATACAGAGCTTATTTTGCACTCAAAAAATAATGTAGTCAGGGAAATGTTTACTCGAGGTTACTTGCATGTTTCAACTTTTGCTCATTTCTAAATATTGTGAAGACTCAAATTAAAATACATAACCATATGGATTTGGGAGTACTTATCCTAAATTGCATTTTGTGGCTTTATTCAATACATAAGTTCTTGGAATATTTGAAAAGTTCAAATGTAAACCAGGGAAACTGTAACTCGCTCAAATTTTTTGAAAATATTTTCCAAGGGATGCAAAAAATTTGGTTTCCATCTGTAACTTTCTTGTGACGTTATATTCTATGCTATGCCGAGGTATTATTTGTTTGGACTTGATTCAAATTGCATCTTAAATTTGGCACTGATAATGGTGTTCATAGCTTGTGGCTTTAAAGAGCACTCGAGTCATGAAGCATGACATCTTCATCCTCCAACCTGTACAGCACCATATAGCATCGATGCCTTTTAGAACTGTATTACATGCCTCCCGTTCAACAACAACAATAAGTGTTAAGACCCCAACTATTTGGCATAAGCTATATGGCTATTTTTCCGCCACTGACCACTATTGAGGGTGATGTCACAAGTCAGATCAAGAGCCATCAGATTTTGTTTTTTACGCTTCAACATATGTTTTCATGGGTCTTCTTCCTCTACATCTCCTCACCCAACTAACAAATGTTGGTTTACCTTGTCCAAACAATGCATTTATTGTTGCCATTTGGACTTGTTCTAACCATCAAGTTGATTTTGTCTCAATTTTTTCTGTATCAGAAGCCTAAATACCTGTCTGTGAATGTAATATTTTCTTTTCTGGTTAACCCGCATATCCATATAAGCACCCTTAATGAATTTCCTAACTATCCGACACTCAAATTTGATAACCCCTAAATGAAGCTTTAGACAAGAACTAGCTGAGTGCTATACATTCTGAAATGGCTGCAGATTGTTTAAAACTTAAAAACAAAATATTTATTTACTGAAATTGCAACAATAACATACCAGCATCTAGTAACATACAATCATCTACAAATTCAACTTTCTAAGAGATCACAACAAGATGAAAAAAAACTAATGACATTTTCATTAGCAAGGATGGGTTACATTTTCATTGTTGAAGCCATCATAGGACTCAACAGAAGAACTTTTAAATTGAGGTCAACTGCAGCCTTCACTAGTAACAACATTCTATATGTTATCTTGTCCCTAGAATCCAGAAAAAAAACTGGAAGCAAGTGTACACACCTAAAAATAAGTCAACTGAATTTCTCAGTGGCATTATCAACTTAGTTAATACTTTATTTGTTTACCCAATTTAAGAGAAAAAAAATAATATACATGTTTCATTCAGAGGTAGGAACCATACCTCATCTTCGCTATATCCTTGACCATTTTTAGGTGTAAATAGCATATCTCCTGCAGCAAGCTCAAAAGCCATGCAGGCAAAAGACCACATATCAGTAGAGGAGGAGTATCCAGCACCAAGAATGACCTCTGGTGACCTGTACTGTCTAGTTTGGATATCATCAGTTAATTGTTTATCACACCAACAAGCATTCCCAAAATCCACAATCTTGCATCTAAGATCAATCCCTTCCAAGCTTCTTTCTAGCTGCAAATTTCCCGCAGTTGATGCTCTTCTCTCAGAGATTCTCGCCCTTGCCCTCTTTGCCTTTTCCTTCAGCCTCTTTTCAATCACATTGACCACTACTCCACCATTTGGGTTGCCCTCTGGCCTCTCGAGAATCGGAGTAAATCCAGACCTAACTGGGTCTTTTGAAGCATCAATGGTGGACAGAAGAAGAACATTCTCCAGTTTCAAATCTGTGTGAATGATGCCAACTTCCCTGTGCAAATAATCAAGACCTACCAAGATGGACCTGCATATGTTTCTCACCCTGTCCAACCCAATGCCTTTGTAACGGTTGTACTTGACAAGCCGAAGTAGGCTATCCCCAAGGAACTCAATTACCAGGCAAAGGTGCTGCCCATTTGGGCCAGAATGCTTAAAGTGGTCAACTAATCGAACTATGCATTTGGAATTTGAGGCATCTCCTTCAGCAATTGCCGAGAGAAGCTCAATCTCATGGAGAGCAGCTTGAGCGAACTCCGGTGCACTTTTTTGAATCTTGAGAGCAACAAAATTCTGCAGAACGATCAAATTCAAAATTAATCCTTGTACCAGAAGGTAGGTACATCAAATAGGAAAAACTTGAGGTGCCATTGGTACAGGACTTATCAGGACAGCCTAGTGAAACGAATCCACGGAGAATCTATGTCCGTATCCTGTCCTTGATGTAAGCAGAAGGTCATTTATGACTTGAACCCTTGTCATCCATGTCAGCGAGGAGAAATCTTACTTTGCCACCCAAGACTCACCCTCATAGTAGAAGATAATAGGTAAAACAAAAACAGAAAACAACAACATAATGGCGCAACTAAATTAAAGAAAGTGCAATCCACACAGGAGGGATACGATTGAAAAGAGAATCATACATAGGATAGAGTCCATTGAGAAAGTAGAGTTGATATAAAGCATCACCTCTGTAGAACGATAAGCAAGTTTCAAATGAGGAAAATAAGAATCCAAGTGAGTAGATGATGCTAACCACCACAAATTAAAGGATCATTGATTCCCAATAAATGATACAAATCATTCCGCCTTACGTAGAGAGTTCGGAAAATTAATGAAACATGATTGCTGCTACTTTTTTTCCATATATGACCAATAATATAAATAATTATTTAGCCGTACAACCCTGATTATAGAATGTGATACAGAGTAAGAAAGGACACTGGTCTTCTCAATAATTCTTCAATCAAACAAGATGTTCAAGTAAATCACGATCCAAGAGGTCAGATCGAGAAGCGATCGGGGATCGGATGAAACCACATCCAAGAACGAAAGATGGGATCTTTCGCAGACAATCCACGACGATCTTTTCACAGTATTGACCTTTAGGCTATAATTCGCATCAAAGGCAGAAATCGGCCATCTCCCTCCACGGGACCGTCCGGAATAACCGAAAACTGACGAAAGAACCACGGAGAAACAAAGACGCAAAGCGGAGGAGGGAGGGAGGGGGTGATCCAGTACCTGAGCTCGAGTGTCATAGGCGAGCCAGACGGTGGAGAAATGGCCCCACCCGAGCTTCCGCTGGGTGATGTACCTCCCACCGGCGAACTGATCGCCGACCCTGACGGCGTGGTACCCTCCCTTCCGGTAGGCATCGACGCCCTCGTCCTCCTCCGACCCTGACGTCGAAGAGCACGACATGTTCCTCTGCCTCTTCTAAGTTTTCCTCTTTATCGCTGCCTTGTGTCGCAAGGATCCAATGTTCCCCACGGCTAAGAAGAGAAGGGAGCGAGAGAGAGGGAGAGAAAGAGGAGGAGGAGAAGCGGATCTGAGGAGGAAGGCGATGGCTACAACTGGCCGAATGGGATGGCCGCTTTTACCACACGAAGAAGTGTTCGCATTTAAGAGGTTGGTTCGTAGACTTGGTGGAAGGATAGTCATTCCTGCACGAAAACAAAAGCAATCATGGTTTGGATAGCTTTGAGATTCGGAACATGATCGATTATGAGCTTTGTATGGTATCCACTAGCCAGAAGGATTAACCGATCTATCTGAGGTTGCTCGTTCGAAGGGGTTGGACTGCACCTGTTACGGGTTGGTAGTGAGTCCAATTCAGGTTCAGCCACGGTCCAATCCATAGGGTTGACCAACATCAAATTCGATTGGTCAACCACAGGTTGGATCGATGACGAAATGGATTAAGGAGTCTTAGGATGTCGAGCCATTTGGGCAATTGGTTCGCTTGCTATGGTCCCAATGAGGTTGAGATAGATACAGTCAACCTCTTTGGTGGCTTGCTGATCCAATCAATTCAAACATACGACTTTCACTATCACTCTTAATAATGTAACGTCGTGGAAGCCATAGGATACAGAAGCTTCACGGATGGTGGAGCCTCCTACACCGAGATGAACTTACAAAACATTCGAGTCAAAACATGCCGGAATGTTGGGGAAAACTTTTTGAAAGAGAGATCAAATTAGATTTATCCTCCCTTTATCGATCTCTCTAGAACTTTCTTGTATCGATAAATTCATATGTAATTAAACTTTGATCTCGTTAAGTTCAGGGATTATTTTTTCTTGGAAATCTATTTCAGATGTCTTGAATTGTTGACAAAATTAAAAATAGATCATCTCAAAAGTAAATACTCAGATTCAGGTAATGGAAATGTGTTCAGTCCGAATGTGGGATAGAAATGATATAGGATTAGAGTTTTTCCATCATCGGGATCGATCCAACTCATTTAAATTGAATGTAAATATTTTGTAATTCGAGTCCAGTGATTGTTCAAGTTCATATACATCATGGTGTCTTTATCATATAATTGTAGCCCCATAATTCAGAGAAGCCACCTTACATGTTAGTGTTGAGAAGAAGAGATCCACAGACCGCCGTCGCTTTGATTCTTTGATGGTGCCTACAATTGCAGTCCCAGATTCTACTAATTTGATCTACGAGACTTTCAGGCAGACAGCACGCTGTCAAGCTTGCTCAGAGTTGAAGATCGCCATGAGAGAAGACCAGGTTCCGGAGATGGCCAACGCTACCCCGACGACGATGATGGCGATGTCGGCTGTAGCCCCGGCCAAGCCCAGCTCGGCGCTGAACACCTTGAAGTGGAACACCGCCGGCAGCACGAAGCCGAGCACGACGCACACGCTGCCCCCGACCAGCGACAAAAAGTCGGCGAAGTTGGGCACCAACGTGGCCACGAGGCTCACCGCCGCCACCAAGGCCCACCGCAGCCACCAGCAGTACATCTTCCCGCACAGCCACCGCTCCGCCACCTCGAACACCGGGTTCATCATCACCGGGAACGTGAAGAAGAGGTTGATGCAGAGGCCCAGCTGGATAAGCACCGTGAGCGCGCCGGCGCCAAGGTTGGCGGTGATGATGTCCCTGGTCTCGTCGCCGAATGCGGCGTAGCCGAGCACGCCGAAGAGGCCGTAGATGAGGGCGATGAAGGCCATGGAGAGGCCGAGGGTGCGCCCGAACTTGGACTTTTCGGCGGCCTCGGCCTCTAGGGGGACGACCATGCCGATGCCCTCGAAGGCGTACACCGCGACGCCGGCGCCGTATAGGAGGACGGAGGGCGCCGAGAAGGCGTGGAGGGGAGGGGGGCGGGTAAGCATGACGGAGACGTCCTCGACGACGACGACGCCCATGGCGCCGATGTCAACGACGTCGGCGAAGATGCTGAAGGGCGCAAGGAGGGTGAGGGTGCGGATGGAGTTGAGGCCCAACTGGAAGGGCAACATAGCGAGCACGTAGAGGGCCTTCGAGGAGAGGAAGGGAAGGAGGGGGAGAGAGACGGGAAGGAGGTTCGTGAGGGAGCTGGAGATGAAGATAAGGTAGCCGACGCAGAAGCCGGCCTGGCTAAGCACGATCATGACGTCGACGGCGAGACGGCCAAGGGGGCCGGAGACAGCGAGGCCGAGGTCGCCGAAGGAGGCGATCTTGGCGGATCGGTCGAGGTCAAGGCGGCGGCGGGTGCGGACGATGAGCATCATGCAGTGGAAGGTGAGCGCGGCGACAGCGAGGAGCAGTAACGCGCCGGCAACCCACCCGGTTCGCCTGAAGGCGTAAGGGAGGCCCAGCACGCCAGCTCCCACGATCGAGATGAACACGTTCGCGAACGTCTTCGGCTGCGACGACAGGCCCCGCCCATGGTCATCACCGCCCACCACCTGGATAAGCGGCCCCGATGCATCCAGGCCGTAGCCGGAGGAGCTCGCTTCGTTCCCAAACCCCATGAATCGATCAAATTAACCAACTAATTTACTCCTATCCTCTTCGATGCGAGCGGAAGCGAGCAGGAAGGGGAGGACAGGCCGCGTGAAGGGAATGAGGGTTTGCTCGGGGAAGAAGACGATGAGAGCGGGTGGTCGCACAATTGATTTATAGAGACGCAGGAAAAGTGATCCCATAATAGAAAGGTTAGGACGGGCTTTATTCAGCGTTGAGATCGAGTTCGCTTCTTGTCGACCGTACGATCGTGGTAAGAAATAGCTCGAACCACCGACTATGCATATATATTTGGTTGGGAGGATGCGACATGATTGGATGCATACGGCCCGAAAAGGGCGAGATACCGCACGTGATGGACACGCATCGTGTGGTTCTCGTTGGCTTTGCCTGAGACACTCGAATGCCCGAGTATTTTCTTATTAATCGTGCATTTTGCCTAATTATTTTGTATTTATACGAGTATTCCATTCAGAGTCGAGAATAATATATTATATAATTACATGAAAGCTAACGGTATTGATAGGGCTAACTTAGTCCTACATCGATTGAGGAGTGGGAGAATCAATGGCTCATAAAATAATCGTGCCTCTCTAATTCTTAGAGACGTCTTTTGGAGCTCCAAAGGATCCAAACCAAGCTTGCACATCCAAGGTGCACTGAGACAGACGAAGTGGTCCCCTATCAAGTCTAACGTGAAGCTCACGTTGGCCATGAGCTCCCATTTGATTGATTTGATGGAACTAGGATCTTTATACTCGAGAGAACAAATCAAATCCAAGTTGATGCTCACAAATCAATTTGTTTCATGTTATTGGGTTGATTGTTTCTTTTTTAATCTATTCAATTCCAATCAAATTGTTCATGTCTAATGCATCACCCACCAATTTATTTTTGTTTCTTAATATCATGAAAAGAAAATCAAAATTAGGTTTCGTGAGGTTGAAATCTATTAATATGATGTCCTATTCCATGTACATCTCTGGTTGACGACGGGATCAGTCGAATTCAAAAGTTATTTAATCCTATAAATACATTGTTTGGGCAAGATGCTCATGGTATTGACCAAGACTTTTCTTGATAAGACACAAGAGCTTCATCAATAATTCATCATATGCAGAATTCCAATTGATCATGTGCTTTGTGACAATATCTATTCCCCAAAATTATACTTTTATGTATGAATTATTGGCCCTCTCATGTGTAAACCAAGTGGATTAATTGAAAGAACTAAAACAACACAAGAGTAGGCTTAATTTATGATCTCTAATTAATCATTCAAGTGAATGATTTACATAACAACAATAATACTTGTCAACAATTACAACAGCAGTAACAAACAATACTTGTTTGGTGAAGATTAGGAGTAGGAGAAGGTAAATATTTATTTGTAATTAATTTGATCAAATTGGAGTCTTGGGAGTGAGATTGAACGACTTCCTTTGATCAAGAAGACCAAACCCCGTGCCACGTGTTGTTTAATTGATGCCAAGTCTTTCCAACCTTTTTCCTTTTAGGGGATTTTACATATCTATCCTTCTAAAATTTGAAAATGGTATAATTATTCTTACAAATCTTAATATGATTATATAAAATATTATATATATATATGCACACAAAGTTTTTTAGATTTGTAAATATATATATTAATACTAAAAATTAAGCAGAATAATAGATAAATTATTTATTTTGAAGGGATATACCTGTAATTTTGTTTTTTAAATATATTTTTGTTCCTCCGACGGAAATTGTCGGCTTCACTCTTATTTCATTCTCAGAAACCCCCTCGAGCAGCCGTACAACACCTGCCACCCTTGGACGGCCCCACGACGGGAAGACGAGTCAAACGATTCGCCTCTCTCTCTCTCTCTTCGCCCAATACCGCAGCCTTCTATCTCGCCCGATCCGTCGATCCTTCCTTCCCCGCCCTCCGCCGATCGTTCGCCTCAATCGACCGCCTTTCTCGGAGACCTCGGCGGCGGGGAGCGGCGGGCATCGGGCGCGAGCCAGGCATGGGTCCAGTGGCAGCGGAAAATTAGGGTTTCCGACTCGATAAAGATCCCAAAGAAGAGTGGCAGCGAGCGGTATGGTTTCCGATGCTCAATTCTCCTTCACTGCTTCGTTTGCTCCCATAGATCTTGTGGACCTTCCGTCGATGATGGGATGGCAGCTGATTTAGGTGTTGAACTTACATTTGTTGGACTCTAGGACGGTCAAGTCCCGATGCGGACGTGGCTGTATTGGTGAATTCTTCGTGAAAACTGATGAGAATGGATCCTTTTCAAGATTGTGCCCAGTGTCAATATATTTATACGTTGGTTGAGCGGTTGCCTTTGTGTCCAGCGAAATTCAGATGTTTTTCCTAATTATGGACATATATTTATTTCACGGTGCAAATATCTGACGATTATCCTTTTATCAGGAAAAAATTCAGATGGTTAACACATTTATAGAAACCTCAGATCCATTTTATCCATAGAAATTTATTGATACATTGAAACTATGTTAACTGCAATCCTCAAGATAGAGCCAATAAAGATCTTGAAGGTGCCAGCTAGTAAAGCCGTTGCTGATATCGAGGCCTTGGAATCAAATCTTGCCTCCAGCACTTAACGATTGCTTAAAAAGAAATCTAATTCTTTCCTGTAATCCCAGGTCACATAATTTGGAAATATTATGAGGAACTACTAATTTAGATTGCATTTCTTGTTTGATAACTTTTCCAAAGGGCAACAGCTGAATATGTCTTTTTTTCCAATTATTTTTATTTTGTTCCAATTCTTCTATATTATGAAATGTTCAATCATATGTTATCTCTCTTGTCATTTTTTCTCTTATCTTTCTCGCAGGTCATTATGATTTTTTTTCTTTTCTGAAAGTGCTTTTGTATTTTATATTACATTAAGAATCTATTGCTTATTCTGTAACTTGATTGTCTTACCAACATAAAACCTGTAAGAATAGGATGCAAGGTGGGCATCAAGTTTCTTCTACATTTTAACTTTCCATAGATCTCTTATGCATAAATATGGTTTAGCTGATCCAAATAGGTGTGGCTTGCAAGAAATATTATCTTACATCAAAAGATAGACTAAGCAATGTAAGGTCTCAGGGCTTTAACTTTAAAGGATTAAAACATTTTACCTATTCCCACATGCATAGGCTTGTAAGATAGTGATGTAACAAGTTGTCTAACAGGCAGGTGTTAATAGGAAAGTAATGATATTCTGATTTTTATAGTGGTACAAGGACTAGGGCTTCCAGACCTACAAGCCATGTCCTATATTCATGAGCGGGACTTCTAGTAAATGTAAATTTTTAATTGTACTATCCCAACATCAGATAATATAAAATATAAGAATTAGATTTTTTAATGATCCTAAAGATTTTATGAACCCAACTTCAAATATTTTACATTTACACTATATTACACAAAAATGACATTATCTTTGTAAACTATTTGTCTCCGTGTGTCCTTGCATCTCTATTTTGTTTCCTTACAGCAGCCACCACTTGGATCCATATTTATATTTCATATCCATGTAATTTTGATCTTTACGTTACTCATGATAATAGTAGATACATATCAGCTGTAATTGTAGAGCATGCACTGGATAGATGGTTTAGCAAAAAAGAGGCAAAGGCAAAAAAAAAAAGGTACTAGTTGACATAGATGAAGGAACAGACAGGAGAATGCAAAAGGGAGTAGATGAGGAAAAATGCAATAAATAGAAAAAAATTAATAAGAGGGCATAAGAAAGTGCAAGGAAGACGACAGGAATTTCTTTAATCCTTCAAAATATGAACTTGCTACATATCTGTTCCCGATTGATGATGATTAAGTGACCTTCCAAACTGGGGCGATGATGATATACTCTGTTTGACAGTCCGTAAAGAAACATTCCCAGCACCACTGTTAAACTCCAAAATAGACATGACCGGTAATGTTCATCCCCAAAGCATCATGTGTCAAATTAATTGTCAATATGAAAATGTTTGCAAGATTTAGTACACATTTTGTTCCAATTGAAACCAAAACCTGGAGTTGGCTTTAAGATGCATCATAGTTTCAGGTCCAGTTTCTCCAAGTGTAGTTATTTTCTAGACTAGAAAGATTACTATCATTGATTGGACATTAATTTTGTCAAGATTTTGGAGCTCATTTCTTAAAAATGAGAAAAAGAAGGTGGCTGTGCATGAACATCCCATCATTACAAGGTCTGGAGAGTGGCCAATGTAGGCAGCCTTATTGTCGCAAGAAAAGAGACTGTGTGACTCTGACCCTTGACATCAAGTCGCTAATCCTTTTCTATATTACAAGACTCAGTGATTCTTTTTTGTAATTATGCAATACCAAATTTATTGGGTTTGTCTTAAGTAATTTAGTTTTTTGTGCTATAAGTCAACTGCTCTCACTTAAAGTTGAGGGACCTTAAGATAATTCTTTTGTATTTGGCCATCAGGGATAAAATGCTACCAAAATAAAAATGTATCTCTTAGTCCATTGACATTTATTATGAAAATTTATTCTACCAAAGCTGTATGTTTTTCTTCTTTGCATCTGATAGAAGGATGCCTGATGGGATTAATTTAGTATTATCATGCACATTGTAAATGCCTAATATAGTTGGACAGACTCCTGATTGGTCAATTGTGTATTATGAGAATGGAATATAGATCCATGCTTTTCAATTATTCACTGAATGGGTTTTGTGCATGATGCTTGGAGATGTATGTATATGTCTTAAGTGTTAGTACTCTTGATTAAAATTAGAAGTTTAGAGTAATGTTTACATATAAAATTTACTAATGTTACAGTATGACAAAGTTTATGCTGACAGAATGCCCTTTGAGGCGCTCAATAGGTTCCTTAAAATTGTTGTTAGGTAACTTGGAGTCTTTGAGTCAAAACATTCCAATAAATTCCTAATGTGTTGTTAGTAAATTAGAATTCCTTTAAGGACTAAGATATGTTGCTTTGAGGCCATTTAGAGGCTCCCAATGGAGTTTTTTGGATGATGATTAATGAAGGATTTCATGTTTTGTCTTTTTGGTTTCTTTTTCTTTCTGTTCACTTTTTATTTTGTTGTTTTCTTCTTCCTTGTATCTAGCCTTCCATATGGGAGACTGCATCATTTGATGTAGATGTAGCATCCTTTAGTT